CTGTACAAGATACATATAGCTTAACTATTAGGACCTTATTTACTCAATATGAGAGATTATGAAAGAGATTGAATTAGAAAAAAGTAAACTAGAATGTTGTGATGTTACACAGTAGTTACCAATAAAGGATTCTATGCTATAATTCTTGGTTTAATTTTTGTTGGGCCATTTGTTAAGTTATTATTAATTCATCTGAGGTAGTTTTGCCAGTAATTAGCTGTGTGACTTTGAATAAGTCAGATAATGTTTCTAGTTTCTTCATTTGTAAAAGGGTTAATAGTGTCTGCTTCAAAGAATTGCTGTAAGGTTTAAATTAGTTAATCATATGTAAAGTATGTTAAGTAGCACTTCCTAATAAATGCTGTGTGTTTGGTGATATTATTATTGTTTAATTGAAAGAACTATCTTTAAGTACTAAAGTTTCTTTACATTTCCTAGGTCTCTACTTACTAAAAACCAAGGGATAAATGTCAGATCTTTATGGGCTTTTTAGAAAGATCTTTCCATAATTGGTCATATGACTTTGAAAACATCCCCGGCATCCCCAGGCTTACACGAACAAGATGCTATTTTGTTTATTCATTTTTTGTTAAAATGTTTGATTTGATTTGATGCTTATGGAAAGAGTAGCCATTTCTTTTTCTTATTCTCAGTATTATCAGTTTACTATAATTGGCCAAATTATTTTCTCTTTTCAAATTGTGTTCATTTTTTTCTGAATTCCTAATTGTATGTTATATTAACCTTGATTTTATGAAAACCTGATTGAATAGTTGAAAGTCTAAAGGTAAAATAAGGACAGTCACAACTGAAAATATATTAACTAGTTTGATGTATGTCAAATTGTATAAAAAAATCAACACATTGTATCTCACATATACATAAATGTATTCATGATCTATGTGTATATGACTTAAGAAAATAAATAAATAAAAATTAGCTATGGAATGCAATGTATACTTTTCAGGTGATAGGTACACTAAAAGCCCAGATGTCACCACTATATAATTCGTCCATGTCACAAAACCCACTTGTCCCTCTTAAATTCTATTGAAGTAAAAAATGTATGAAAGAAAAAGAATAGGTTTATATGGCTCTATAATAATAATAAAAAGGTTTGGTCACTAGGTTGAGCTCCTTCCCCAGTGTCTGCATCTGGAACTCAAGAGAATTCTGAAAACAGAAGGATATGGTGTGGAGATCTTTTTATTAGGCAGTTTGACTCTTTAAAATGCTCAGTTTTTCTCTTGGCTTATGTAGTCACAACTGCTGCTTTATATTGAAATGCCATATAAATGTGTTATTAAAATTTTAATATCTGGTTCTTACACATACCTATTTTATTAGACAACACCTAACATAAAATTATGTGGTTGGTAAAAATGAATTAGGGTCTTAGGATTTTACCAAGAGGTGATATTTAATATTGAATGACATGTATTAAGACAAATGCTTTTTATATATAATTTATCTGGCATTGTAAATCCGTTTATCTTGTGAGATACAGACCCCCCATTGTCAAATGAAGTATTCTGGAAAGGTTTGGAGTAAATAAATAATAAAACTACTTTGATATACAATCTAACAATATTAAATATTGAGACTTTCAGGTGATTGATTTTAATACTTAATTAACTTATTTAAAGTCCATTGTAACCCTCTTGCATTAGAGATTGATAGAATGTAAAGATGGAACTTTGTTCTTTCCCGTTCTTTGTTTTCATTCTCACATTTTTGCTTTCTTTCCTTTCTTCTTTCCTTCTTTTCCTCCCTTCTAATTAAGACTTTAGAACATCATTTCTAACCATCAAATTTACCTTTAGCAACTAACACTAAAAATAAAAAATATATTTTTTCTATCAATTCTATAGATAATATTCAGTGACCCTATCTTTTAATTATGAACATACAGCTTTTATCATAGAAGCTCTCTTTTATAGCCAAAATGTCATATTTCAGATTAAATACCCATGATGATAAATACATGCAGTCTATAATACATTCTTATTGATGCTGTATCCTCTCTCCCTTACATAATCAAATTCTGAAAGTACACCGTCTTATATGCTTTTCTTATAGGAGAATTCCTTATGTAAAGTAATATTGCTCTGTCATTTCAATGTCCAACTTTTAAGTTTACTGTCAGTCAGGAATTGAAATGAATGAAGTATGCCTATATGAGCTTTTCTGAATATGCATGTCTTTAGAAAGACACAAGTCAGAATGTTAATTCTGTGCCTAAGTATTAGAGATACAGTGAAGGAATGAATATAAGCCAAAATATATGGAACTTTAGATTCAGAGGAAATAAACTCTTTTTCTAGAGGTTCTATTTATGTGATGCCATTTAAAAGAGAAGATGTTACTCAACTTTATCTGTACAATGCTAATAACTTGAAACTTTCACTTAGAGACTGCTTCTATTGCTATAGTTTACATGGAAAATACTGTTTTGAAATTTTTAATGTACTTTAAAACTGTTGTACGCTTTGGAATAAGTTACCTTTTCATTAAATCTTACCTTTTTATTAACTGTTTGCACAAGACTTCCTTTCTTTCAGACAGATCACTTTTATCTTAACTAAGATTTAATACTGCAAGAGCCAGGCTTGTGAAACCAGTACACCTGTCCTTTAGATTAGTCTTAGATTTTTAATGGGAATTTCAGCCTAATTTATCAACTCCTGCCATCAGATCAGTAAAACCATGTTGTTAAATTATTTTTTAGTTTTCTGATTTTGAGTTCATGTAAAGCAAGAATAATTATTATTTATAATAAATATGGCAAAGGAAGGTAGTGCCGTGGAAGGAATATTGCAGTGCTTTCTAATTTAGAAGAAATGAGATTTGTTTACTTATTTTTAAAAAATCTTCAGGTATATTTTTATCAGTCAGGGGAACTTTAGGGACACCTAGGCATGATTTAAGAGAACTAACATCTCCAAATTATGGATTTAAGTAGTCATTTACTTACACACATGTTTTTGATCTTAATATATATTTTTTCTATATATTTAGCTTTTATATAGAGAAGATTAAAGCATATTAAGAATAGAAGTTGGAGTTTGTAAAAAAATTAAAAATGTAATGGCCCATTGTCACATTTAAAATGTTAATACTACTTTGACTTTTATAGTGGTTGTTAAAAAGTTTTCAGGCCAGGAAACAAAAATCTTCCTAAATTTTTATTTGAATGTTCACCAAATATTTTCCTACAGGCTACTATTTATAGGTAAAAAAAAAAAAAAATGTTTATAATAACAATTAAAATAAATGTAGACACAATTTGTTAAAGACTTTATATATTCTGCTTTGTGTATTAATCAAGTATTTTTGCTTGGTGTATTTATGAAACACAAATTGGAAAATTCTTAAGAACATTATTTTATATTGAAAAGCAACATTATATTGTGATTATCACACTAGTATTAAACCAACACACTTTTAAATATATTTTTTTAGATTCTAGAAAGCTGAAATAGCTCTTTATATTTAAAACAAACTTCAAAACCTAAAGCAGCATCTTCCTGATAAGTTATGTTCAAATTAGATTATTAAATTCATAATTAAAAGAAAACTAAGAACATTGCCCATACTTTTTCTTTAACAGATTGTTTGAAAATGACTAATTATTACCAGTCAGCAGGTTAGCATTATTTAATTATAAAAGCATGTCAGTGACTCAGTTTCAGGCTAAAGGCATAATAAATTAAAGTATAGTAGATCCCTAATTATATACAATAGTTGTTGAATGAGTTATTTGGTTAACTTTGTATTTTAGTTTTTGGTATTACCATAGACATAAGTTCTAAAGAATTGTAATTAAAACTATTATAAATTAACTGAATCACTCTTGAAGTTAACTTTCTCTAAGAAGTCTAAAAGACCTAATATATTTTATAGCACTTTAAATGAATATATAATCATCATTGTGGGCTATTTTATTTTAGCTATATAATTACTGATTTTTTAGATCTACCTTTTTAAAGCAAACTTTGATTAGATTGCCTGTCATTTATTTTTCATATAGTTTAAATAAAATACATTTTTAATATGTTATGTTATGAGCAGACTTGCCACATAATCTCTATATTTGTATTATTTGTATATTTTAGATATGTGAAACCCATAACAGTGAAAGTATACTGAAAAAATAAGAAATTAAGCTAATGAGATCAAGAATATATAGCTTAGAACATTAAAAAAATTTAAGGAAATCTAGCAGGTAGAGTAGACCTTTTCAAATACTTATTTTTTATTTTTACTTTATTAAGAAATAAGGTCTTGTTGTATCACCTAGCTTGGTCTTGAGGTGCAAGTGATCCTAGCACCTCAGATTCTCTACTTTGGTGTTAGGCTTATAACAACAAGATTATATTAATAACCATTTTGAAGGTTTTCTCCTCAATGCCTATTTCTTTTAAATTGTTCCAAATTAAACAAGGAATTTTAAATTAAATTATTATGAGGCATGGTGGCTCGCATCTGTAATCCCAGCACTCTATAAGATCAAGGCAGGAGGATCACTTGAGCTCAGGAGTTTCAGACCAGCCTGAGCAAGAACAAGACCCCATCTTTCTGAAAAATAGAAAGTTAGGCATGTGACCAAGTGATTCTCCTGCCTCCAGAGGCAGAAACCCTAATATTGCTATATTAGTAGAAATATGTAAGTGCGTAAAAATGAAATAGTTACTTATGTCACAAAAATGCCACACAGTTTAAAGATGGACACGCTTTAAGAAAAATATAGCATGCTTATAAATCATAGTGACAATTATAACAATAAATTCCACAAAATATAATAAGATATTTTAGACAAATATGTGCAGTCTTCAGTAATCTCCTTCATTAACAAGCAGAGGCAATATAAAATTTGACAACCTCGTTGGTTTAAAACTAAAAAGAGGAACTATCCATTGTAACAAGAATCCAGGGGAAATGAACTGTTATGTTATGGACAGACTTACCACATAATCTCTATATATTTTTTTACATTCCAGGTAGTTACTTTTGGTGACATTGTCCATTCCCACCATGTATCATTCCTTATCTGAAACTAGACATCCTCTGCAGCCTGAAGAACAAGAAGTAGGCATTGACCCTTTGTCCAGTTACTCTAACAAGTCTGCAGGTGAGTTTTATTTGTATATGCTCTTTGCAGGTCCTGGAAACCTAGAGGAAGCCCAGTTAACTCTGTCTACCTTCTATGTGTAATTCTCTTGAAACCCAGAAGGGCAACTTTAAGAACATGGCTCAGAGCTGTAGAGAGTGCTCTTGACTTAATGAATACTACAAAAAGTCAGCTTTCAATTATTGACAGAAGCATTAGCCAAATGTTGAATGCACTGCCATTCTTTAAAAAAAAAATCATAAACTAAACAATGATATCAGCGTAACAATGTTAGAATTCAAAAATTGAAAAAAAGAAAAAAGAAGAATGTTAAAATGCAAAGGGGACTTTGTCAAATATCTTCTAAAAAATCCTAAGCTTTGGTGGTGATTTTGCAGGGATTTTGTCCCCTTCAGCTAGTGTCATTTATTCCAGGACAAAAAACTTAGCTGATTCATGATCATCATTTTCTTAAAAAAAAAATTGAAATTTGTGTCTTATTCTTAAACATCTATATGTTGAAATTAAATGGTAGACTGTTAAAAGGGTAGACTATATTCAGGTCCTGTGCTATTAAAATTTATCAAATATGTATGCATCAGAATCTGCATTATTTTCTCAGTGTTTATGTAATAATAGTAATAACATAAGTTTTTAGAAGGAGGCAATGAATTTTGAAAATTCTCGAAGCCTTATTCTTAAGGAATTCACTAAGTATTTGATAAAGTTCACTCCTTACAGTTCGTACTTACGAAATCCGTATATTAGGATTGTGAGATCTATTTTAAAATATCATAAATTAGTCAAAGTAGTTCATGTTTTTTTTTAACTTCAGATAAAATTATTTTTTCTGTCTGTATTGATGTCAAGGTCTGCCTTAACTCATGTTCTGAGAATTAAGAAAAATAATTGATTGCTCCTTAACGTGATAGTTCCTTTAGAACATACTTACCTTGTAGAGTATGTGTTGCTTTTTGTGCATCTTTATTATCTTCTCCATCATACAAATGCTGTTGTTTTTAATGAAGAAAGGGGAATTTGTCCTACAACTTATTTTTTCTGATTTTGTTTGTTTGTTTGTTATTGTATAAGGACTCAACAAGACTGCTGTTTAAGATTTTGATAATGTGAAAATTAATAGTGTCCATTTCAATTTCAGTATTTGAGTATTTCAGTGGTAAGCATAATAGCTTTCTTGGCCTTATTTTTTCTTAAATGTAATACCTATAAGAAGCACTCAGTTAAATAAGTCAAATTATTTTGCAAGTATTTCTAGAAGTGTGAATATATATTTGTGTTATAAGTATATAAAGTAGTTTAACCAAAAATTTTTAGACTATTTCTGGTTTATATGCTCACTTGACACCATAGCTAGTTGTTGTTTACTCTGGTCTATTTCATTAAATATTGAATTTTTTTTTAACCTGGTTAAAAAAATTTTTAATTAATTTTATCCCCTATTGTTTGCAGGAATGAGTAGTTACCTTTACTGAAAAGGCTTTTCGTTTATATCCTAGCCTAACATTTCTATGACATACTAAGTTATTAGGACTGAATTGATGTTTAAAAGTGCCATTAATTCATTTACCCCAAATGTTCATTAACAATGTAAATGTATGCTGATGTTCTATGAGACAAGGAAGTGACTAATGACTCTTCCAACTAACAACACTTAAAATGAATAGAAACTTTAGATAGCTAATCTTGAAGTAATCAAGATCCTCATTCAGCTTGGCATCTCTGTATGCTCTAAAACAGCTGTCAACTGTTAAAAATATATACAAAACACACATACGCACAAGCACATGCAGAAAGAAAGATATGTAAATATCTAGTTGTTCAAAGCCATAAAGGTTACTAACCATAGTGGGTTTTGTGCATTGTATATGTAAATATTTTATATAAAGCTTCTATTTCTTCTTTTTAGATTTTGTTTTTGCAGAAAAATGTGTTGCATTTTAGTGGGGTTGTCATATTTACTCAAAGAATCATCACCTTTCTAATATGTTTATTTTAGTATATGTCTTCCATGGGGCCTCTTCACATATTTGGGAGGCTGTGATACATTTCTGTCACAGTCTTTAGGGAATGTGTGGCTATCGAATGACTCATTTTCTAAGTAGTTAAATACTACACTTAACATCAGTTGTTTGGGTATAGCTGTCATGTATAATTTTGAAAAATCCTGTCAGAGATTCTGTTAGTAAACAAAATATCTTTAATTTCTCAAATCTAAATTTTAATATAAAGTAATAGTACTCTGAGAATTCTGGAAAAGATGTGTAAAAATGCCCCAAATAATGGGAATAGAGAGAAAAGAACTGCATAAGAACTACATATTATTATTTTGTTTTATTTTGTTTTTATGGATGGTTTAGGAAAGTAGATAAGGGGAGAAAAAAAGAACTATCTGGTTATATACACCTAAAGTCTTAGGAAATGTTATCCATGTGAATTAGACTTTTAACTGAATGGTTTTTTTTTTTTTTCCAAACAGAGAACAGCATAGAAAATATGTATGACCTTTGTTCTATGCCCTATTAAGTTTGGTCATATACATAAACTACCATCTTCAATTTCAAGATCTTTGATCAGAGGTTTAATAACTGGCAAGTTACCTATAATTTAATTGAAAGCAAAAAAAGCTAAAGTGTTTGTTAGACTATTTATGATTATCTGTTTTTAACATGTATCAGTTACATGGAAAGGTAATCATTTTATTTTTAAATTAAAATAACAATATCAAAATTTGTGGAGACTTAACCTATTATTAAATAATATTGTTGGAATGACTAGTTGCTTTCATAAGCTTATGGGAGAATGGAATGTTGATGATGATAAGAAGAATTTTCTTCTATTAGGTCTCTTTTGAGAATAGCATTCTGTTACATATTATTAATACCATAATGTTTACCTTCTGACTTATAGCCTTTATGCTATTCAGATAATTATTCAGCTATCTTTACCTTTAATAAATGTTTCAAAGCTTTCTTTCTGTCTTCATTTATAACAACAGTTCTCAACCTGTGGGTCATGATTATATTAAAGAGCTGTGGCATTAGGAAGGTTGAGAACCACAGATTTATAAAATACTGATATTTAGCAAACTACTTTAAAAAAAATCCGAGATATACAGAACCTACCAGGCCCCTTTTTTGCATCTCGTAATTTTTTTTTTTTTTTTTTTTTGCCAGGGCTGAGTTTGAGCCCAGCACCTCTGGCATATGGTGGTGCCCTACTCCTTTGAGCCACAGGCACTGCCCCTCCTGTAATTTTTTTTGTCCTAAATATTCTTAAGGTTTTAGCACTTGATGGAGTATCCTGGCTTTAGTGATGAAGAAAATAATAATTTAAAATACTGACTGAAGTTTGTTATGATAAAATGATGCTGTCATATTGTGATTTTAAATGTTTTTACATATATATACACATATATACACATACACACCTAATGTGCATATTGTGAGGGTGTATAACATGCCCCCATGGGTGAAGCATGTGTATATATATATATGTGTGTGTGTATATATACACACATATATATATATATATATATAGAAGAGGTGGATTTAGATTTCAGTAAAAAATAGCTTTGTTCTGCTTGAGATACTTGGCCAAAGTATAGGATGCTGCCGGAAGCACTTTAAACCTTGCCCTGGTCTAATTAGTTCTAGTCATCTTAGGGAAGAAAAAAATCTTTTTATTTCCTTTCCTGGCTTACAACTCTTCAATGATTTCTCGTTGCACTAATAATGAAATTGACCCTCTTGACCGTGATGTGTGTGACTGTCTTCTTGCCTGTCTAGCCTTGTTTAGATTAACCAGTTCTAGATTCTGTGTCTTCCCATATGCGGTTGCCTTGACATTATTCTCAGTCCCTTCAGAGCACTCAACATGATATTCAATCCTATGATAATTTGTTTTCTTTTTTTTTTTAAACTTTATTCAAATTAATATGAGGGTACAATATTTAGGTTACATTGTTCTCACTTCCAGGGTAAAGTTCCATTTGTACAAGAGCCCCTCACCCAGGGATGGTGTTACACACCTTCACAATGTGTACAAGGCCCTCCCTCCTTCTGCCATATTTCCTCCCTCCTCCCCCTTCCTACCTCCCTCTACCCCTGAACTGGACTATAATAGTGTTTTATTGTTCTTAGGAACATGTAACTGTTTATATATTGATTTCATATTAGTATGTAGTATTTTGGATATTTATTTTTCCATTCTTGCGATACTTTTTTAAGAAGAATGTATTTCAGCTCCATCCAAGTAAATGTAAAAGATGTAAAGTCTCTATCTTTTTTAATGGCTGAATAATATTCCATGGTATACATATACCACAGTTAGTTAAGCTATTCATGAGTTGAAGGGCACTTAGGTTACTTCCACAACTTAGCCAGTATGAATTGAGCCACAATAAACATTCTAGTGCAAAATGTCTTTGTGGTAAAATGATTTTTATTCTTCTGGGTAAATACCTACTAATGGGATTGCAGGAGCAAATAGAAGGTCTAGTTTTAGATCTTTGAGGATTCTCCATACTTCTCTCCAAAAGGGCTGGCTGTACTAGTTTGCAATCCCACCAGCAGTATAGAAGTGTTCCCTTCTCTCTACATCCACACCAGCATTTGGTGTTTTGGGACTTTGTGGTGTTGGCTAATCTTGCTGGGGTTAGGTGATTTCTTAGAGTTTGATTTGCATTTCTGTGATGATTAAAGACAATGAGCATTTTTTAATGTGTTTCTTGGCCATTCATCTGTCATCGTTGGAGAAGTTTCTGTTCAAATCTCTTGCCCACTTATAGAGAGGGTTATTTGCACTTTTCTTATTGTTTACTCTGAGTTCTCTGTAGATTCTAGTTATTAAGCTTTTGTCAGACTCATACATGACATGCAAAAATTTTCTCCCATTCTGAAAGCTGTCTGTTTGCTTTGTTTGTGGCATTTTTAGCTGTGCAAAAGCTTTTTGCTTGATCAAGTCCCAGTTATTTATTTTTGGTGTTGCTGCAATTGCTAGGA